CAGTCGGAGAAAGAGAATAACGCCAAAGATGTTCTGGAGACACGGTAAGTAGACTCCCATCAGAGTGCCCATGTTGGGAGACTGAGAGGTGGGGGTTCGCGCGGAGGAGAGAGAGAGTGAGAGAGAGAGAGAGAGAGAGAGAGAGAGAGAGAAGAGTATTGAGCATGACATTTCAGGAAACAAGTGTATTGATCATTAGTATTGATTGATGTACTTTTTAAAGGTCATTCAATCATGTTATCAGCTCGTTGCATGTATCCGGGTCTTACACAGCCACAGTCTAAATGCAGAGTGTAGAAAGGCATTAGCAATCAATCAGCAAGCCTTAATAACATGGACAAAGTGGCAGGGAGAGAGCCACCAGTGGAGTATGATGTTTCCAAACCTCAAAAGACAGAGTGTACAGATTTTTAAAACAGTGAAGCACAGTGTTCCCTTGCTCTGCCCCGACTACTGACCTTGGGGGTCTTCCTACGTGACGCCTCAGCACTCTCCTCCTCTTCATGCTCTTTGGCGCCCTGGGTGATGTTGGTGTAGTTGACCAAGCGGCTGAGCAGAGAGGAAACCTTCGGCCGGATGTCCAGCTCTTCCTGAAAGAAGACAGGACATGAAGTTAATCTCATCAGATTAATTTTAATCTATAATTTGACAGAGATTCTGCAAAGTAAAAATAATAAACCTCAAACAATGCCAGGTTCCTGTCATAGAAGTCATTCTTCTTGCTAGCAGCATCAGAACTGTTAAGGAACGGACTGTCTTCTTTATGGTTGCCATGTCCTGTTAGAGAAAGGGATAGAAAAGTAAATAAAAACATAATGAAAACAAAGATGTGGAAAACCAGCAGTTTAGTTTAGGCCTACCAAATGTTTTTCTCGACAGTAAATATGGCAAACATTATTCTCATTTACATAAGCAAAGCTAATGACTGATTCACTAATATGAGGTATGGTTCCCAAAATGTTTGTAAAGGCTGAAACAATATTGTAGCATCATTACAGCATCTTGTGATGGTAAAGTCGAGCACTTCTTTAACAAAAAATAAATAAAAGCTATATGTAAAATGGACAAAAGACAATGGCTCAGTGAGTTTCGAATACCATAAAAAGTCATCGATGGATTTACACCAAAACAGACATCAACACTTCAAAGAAAGAACACCTGATGGATTCTTTTAAATTAATAATTATCTGAACTATATAAAACATGTGACATTATTACAGAGGAAAAACATTATCAACACTATTGCTTGTACAGGAGCAAAAAGTGAAAACAAAAAGAAACAAATAGTAATTCAATTTTTTATTCCATAGCAATTCTTCTTCGCATTTAACTGTCACTGCTAATTTTAATTGAAACATCTTAACAGCCTTCACGTAGCAGTAATCTTTAGAAAGACAATTCATTCAGCAAAATTGCAATGAAAGGCCAAAAGCAGCACAAGTCCAGGTGATAAATAGGATTATAATTAGTTTCACTCTCATTAATGTTTGCGTTTGAGGAAGAGAATCAAACAGAGACAAGCACAGCGCCTGGGGCAATTACAGCACGCAAAGCAGCTCTGCTAACTTTATCACACACACACACATTCACACTCATAGGCATAAACACATCTCATTACCTAGAAATTGCCTAACCTTGGATTATTGGAGCATGTAAACTTTAACAGCGGCATCTTAAAAACCAAATGAATCCTGCAACCAAAACCCAGCCAACGTACCAAGTGGACATGAAATAAAAAAGTATTCTCAACTGTGCAGAAAATACCTGCAAGTGAGTTGGCTGAACTTCCATGCTGGTCCTTACTCACCTGTGTTCTGCGTCCCACTGCTGCTAACAGTGCTATCAGCGAGCATACTTATGCACTGTTTGTGCAGTGTGCAGCAGCGTATGCTATGTTCTGCTATCCAGGACACTCGGTCACCCAGGGTGAATACTCATTCAGGGGCCTAATCTAACACATGGCGTACAGTGAGGAGGGGTAAGAGGTGGGGAGTGGAGAAAACGGGGATAATTTACTGACTCATACACACCACATACACACATATGTAAGACACAAGCCTTCTCACAGGAATATAAAGGCTGGGTTGGATTCACGGTATCACCTTAAAGAGCGGTCTTATATTTTCTGCATTTCTAAATTGTGCTCGTGATCATTCTGGATATATCTGTGTGCAAAATCACATTTCGGTGGGAATTTTTTTCTCCAAGTCAGTGCTCCCAGGCTGCAGCAAAAAGCAACACAATGTAAAAGATAAGCAAAAACCTGTTATTGAAAGCCATCCATTGCAAATTCTCAGTAACAAGATATAATATGAAACTTGACATTTTTAAGGCCAAATTCACGTGAAACCCCTAACTATAGCTGGAATGCAAGGATGACAAGGGGGCAATAAGAGGAAAAAAAAACAACTATCTCAATACTGCCATCTAGTGTTGTCTTGATGTTTGGTTTGCCATGAGATGTTCAGTTGCTTCCTGGCAAGAACTGTGACTCGGCCATGCTGAATGCTCTGCATAATAACCAAAGAGCTAAAACATCAAATAGTTAAGCGTGCAACTCTTTTCTTTTTGGGCAGGCAACATAAATCTGACTTTAACAATGAGCCAAGGAGACAGAAGGGGTTTCTTGTTAATAACCTCACATTAAATGTCTAATCTAAAAGATTAAAGATTAACTGGCCTGTTATGAAGGCAAACTGTAGTCCTGCTGTGAGCACAGAACAGCAGAGGCTTTACTGCATGTGCTAACTTGTCATCTGTGCTCCCTGCAAAACAGCTCACAGCTACAGCTAGAAGATTTAAAACTTCACTGTGGGAATAACACAGTTTATAGAAGCATGTCTGTATGAAAAGACCTATACATAAAAGTCAACTAACTATCTACAAAAAAAATGTGTAAATAGATTTTAAAAAAAAAACAAAACTAATCTATTTACCAGAAGTGATAGCAAAGCTGATACAGTTTTGATGTTCTGAGTTCCACTATAGAAAAACCATCACGGGGCAGTCAGTACACTGTTACAACCACTCCAAAAATTTTAGACATCTGTAGTTCAGACAACAATGAAGGCTGAGTTCCAAGATAGATGTAGTGCATCTCATTGGTACAGTATGATATTAGTATACTACTAATCTTTAGGGGCGACTGTGGCTCAAGGGGTTGGGAAGCGTATCTGTAACCGGTTCGATCCCTGGGCTCTCTGTCCTGGTTGTTGTGTCCTTGGGCAAGACACTTTACCCAACCGCCTACTGGTGTTGGCCAGAGGGGCCGATGGCGCAATATGGCAGCCTCGCTTCTGTCAGTCTGGCCCAGGGCAGCTGTGGCTACAACCGTAGTTCGCCTCCACCAGTGTGTGAATGCGAGAGTGAATGAATAGTGGCATTGTAAAGTGCTTTGGGTGCCTTGAAAAGCCAATCCAATCCAATCCATTTTTACTAGCTAGAGGCTTCACAGCTAATATGATCCCATTGCAAAATTGTTTTAAACAATCTTAAGTACTTTAACTCATTATTTCAGCGATGACAGTTTGTATGAAAATTGTGGCGACTGAAAGTGATGGTGGCTCTAATGTTTGAAAAAGTCAGCATAAAGTGTGTTACTTTATCATTTTGTTTTGCATGTTAAGAACATCCAGTTAGGAGCATTTGACTAACGTATAATTGTATTCATTTGAAAATCATACTATGTTATATGACTGACAATGGTGATATCCATGTAGAGATTTCCAAAACAACAGAAACTATCTGGCTACTTCCACTTTAGCTCACGTCAAACACAACATGCAATAAAATCTGTCTGTTGTGTATTAGCATTTCAAAGTTCTAAACAAAACCAAAGTTCAAGTTTATTTATGATGTTATACACTCATCAAATCTCACAAAACATGTTTGCGATATCTCACAAAATATTAAAATCCATCAGTGTTATTATGTTATTTTTATTATTATTATTTTTACTAACACTATCATTATGGTATAGTGATAGTAATATATAAAATGAACTTATTCCATTAAATATTGTTATAAAACAAAATAAATAATAATAAACATGAGTATGGCATTACTAATATTCCTCAGGGTTAGTTTTACATTGACAAGTTAAAATACAGGGTGAAAGGTTAAGAGTGTGTGTGTGTGTGTGTGTGTGTGTGTCTAGCAACGTTTATCTACTTTGTAAAGCTGATTAGACATGGAAAACAATATTGTGGTCTATTAGCTTCTTAGGATTTGAAAAAGCCTCTTTGCTAAACTTCCTCTTTAATAAATACTTAAGACTTAACACTGGGCGGGAGACTTAAGTCCTAGCTTAGTCCATGAAGTAAGTTGGCAATGATATTGTACTAATGACAACTGAATACACCATCTGCAAACAGCTCACTCTTTCCCCCTCTGTGTGTATGTGCGTGTGTGAGTGTGTTTGCTTTTATATAACAAATTTATACAAAGCAAATATTGATGTGTCTATTCTACAGGGTTGGGCAAAGAGGATACAAATGCTGCGTGGCAGCAATACAAATAGTTAAAAGGCAAACTTGTTCTATGTTGTGCACTCAGTATGTTCTCTCACTACACATGATGGCGCGTATAGCATGTGTACTGCACAAGTCTTCCACACTGGTGCAAGAAGTCACTTTTGGCTGCTCCCTTGCCACAAGAGGTCCCCATAGCAGTTAGATTCACATGTTTGAATTGGCCGAGTTTTACAGATTCCCTGACAACCAAACTAGCAACCTTTTACTTGTGAATGTGTTAACCATTACTTCATTAGAGGCAATACAAGAGCAAAACAACAGGTCTACATGGTCTACATAAATGCTTAAACTCAAAGTAATATCAACCATAAACTCAAGGACACAAGACTTTTCAGCAGAACATTTTTAGTCAGCTTTCTTCTTGCTATAGTGTCTTGCTACCATCATTTTCCAAAATAAGCAATGCAAGCTCCCCTGAGAGATTGAAAGATATGGTAACTCAGCCAACCAGTTCTGGTCCAAATGTGCCCATTGTAGGTAGTTTTTAAACTGGTACAGGCACTCTGACCAGGTTGTGATCAAATAGCCAGATCTAGACCATTTTTATCTATGCAACAGTAGTTCTTCTATGCAATAAAATGACACAGGCCAGCCTTTTGCGCATCACTGAGCCTCTGGTATCAAGGACCCTCCTGCACGGTGTCGGAAATTCCACTTTCCTCATTGCCTTTGGCAAGAAATTATGTAAGCAAAGCAATGCTATTACAGCAAGGTTTGTTGTAATGACAGTATTTCATGGCGAGTACAATCTGACCAGAGCAGAGGAATGTTAACCTGCTGAGACTTACAGCCAAACATATTAACTCTGATGTGTGCTAATGATGAGAAAAGGGTGGTTGCTCAGTCTGATTACCTCAGGGGGTCGTAAAAGGTTTATCATACAATGGATTTCCAAAAACACACCAATAAAATAAATGGGCATGCCAGTGTGTCTGAAGTATTTGATAAACAAATTAACTGTAAAATCTAGTCAGCAACAATGGGAAAACATCTGCTGTGTCTTTACGAAGTGGTTTAAAGTTGTGTTTTCTGTAAGTAGAGTGAATACTTGTGAATGCTTGTTTAGTGTGAAAGGTCATACAATCTCCCTAGAATGCTAAACAGTATGCTGCAATGGGGTAAAAGATCAAAATACTAAATATATATTTCTTAGTACCTTCAGTACTTGCACAACAAGTACAAAAGGTTTTGTTTTTGTTTTTAATCTGAACAGTGTTGTACTGAAGTATGAGATCCTCAATATAAGCTAGGGAGGTGGAACATTCGGAGGTGGGGGTTCAAGCTAGCACTGTTGTCACTTTCATGCAAACCAGCAGATAGAACAAAGATGGCTGAAGACTGGATGGCAAGATAGCTGCATTGCATGAAATTATCCATTAATCAGGGTATGATCGTCTATGTCACCAGTGACAAAATGTATTACAAGTACTTGAACTCAGACATGTTAAAGGTTGTGAATAATTGCATGCTTGGAACGGTGTGTGTGCGTGTGTGTGACATTGTGTTTTAACGCTGTCACTAGCTCTATATTTCCACTCCATCCAAGTATGTTTATCTTTTATATCAGAGTGCCACCTATAGTCACCTGAAAAAGAAAACCTTTCAGAGAATTCTATGCAATTTCTCTATGAGAAATTAACACCCTTCATGATTCCATAGACAGGACAGACATAAATAGAGAGTAAGTAGCAGCCAAGTGCTCTTAATTAAATGATCATTAGCAAGCATGAGCACCTCTTTAAAAGGCAACATTTTGACCTGTAGCATTCAGCTGTGGCTTAACAATGCCACAATCTTCCCAGGAGTGAACATCCTATTAAACTCACTCAAAGTTCAAACCATGGAATGCTCAATTCCCCAACAATTCAGGGACTACATCTCAGAGGCTACAGGCTAAATGTCAAAGTTCAAGGCAGTGCAATCAAAAAAAGACTGAACTGAAAGACTTGTTTGGAAAAGTTTCCAAAAACAAAAAAAAAGTACATGTTAGCACAGTTTTGGTGCTCTTCTTCAACTGAATAAAACGACTTTCCTTTGGACAGTCTACCTTTCCAGTGACTAATGCTTGGTAAATGGTAAATGGCCTGTATTTGTCTAGCGCTTTGGTCCATATTAGATCATGCAGCAGGACAATTACCTCAAGCACATCAGCATATTGACAACAGAATTGTTGGAAAAAACAAAAGCATTTAGGTGTTGCAATGCCCCCCAGTCAAAGTCCAGACTTCAGCTTGATTACAATACTGTGACTGGGCCTTAAGAGAGGTGTACGTAAACAAACTTACACAAACTACAATGACCTAAAGCAATATTTTAAAGCACAGTGGGCAAAGAATCATAGAATGTAAAACCCACAGCAGAAGAATTTTGCTATTTCAGGGTCTCGACTACAGCAACATAATGACTGCACAGTTTGTCCTTTTCTGTAAGCTGAACAGAGCTGAATTCAGAGCCTTAAACAGACTTCGCACTGTGTCACTTCCTCCATGCTGCATTCGTCATACTGTAGCAGACATATACAGCATGTAACACTGCCAGGCACACCACTCCCAGGATGAAATCATCCAGATCATGCACCCATTTTTTAAACTGTTTACCACAGACTACTTTCCAGTTTTTTCTTCTGTCTAATTATGGATGAATGGAAAGATAATATGGAAAAGAAATGAATATGTATGTAGCTAGAATTACTTCATATTATGCATATTCCAATCTTAATTACTAAAACACATTTCTTTTGATTATCATTTTCATAAATACTTAAGTATGGTATGATGCTTTAAAAACATACATGTTAAAGAAAAGCATTGCTATAAAACCTCAGTCAACTTGAGTAGCTAAAGAGAGTTTAATTTCTACATCTGATTAACTGAAAAACAATAGGACATTTTGCTGTTCTAATCATTTAGTAGTTTCACATCCTTCTCCTCCTTCTCATCATGTTTGGCATAGTCATCCATGCTGCCTTCTGAAATTTTTAATGGTTTTTGCTTTTTTTTTCGCAGTTCAGGAAGCTTCTCTTGTGGGTTAGAGAGAATTATGACAGCAGGAAGACAAGGTTAAACAGCCAAAGCCTCGTGGGAAACACAAAAAAACTTCAGAGTTATTTCAAGACAACTTGTGCCATTTTTTCAACTCTAATGGGTGGCTTCCATATGTTCTAGAAGTATACGAGCCAGGAGCTGCATCAACATGTGCTGAGATTTCTTATTGTTTTGCTTCAAATATCAGTCTGGAGACTCAACTGGAGACTTTGGCTCACTGAAGCATGTGTAATCTCATCTGCATCATGGGAAATGTTTTACTCACACATGCACTCCCACATTTTTGGACAAACACAGCAGAACATATTCTTAAAAACTAAACAGTGGCTGCACTAGAATAAATAAACTAACACAGTCACATAGTAAGAAATGTACAGTGCTGCTTGTGGTTTGTGCAGACTTTTGGGCCTTTAATAAAGGCAGGGTGCCCCTTTGAAGGCCACACCCCATGTGTCTCTTTTATTTAAAACAAATAAGTTCCTGCTCGTAACTGGCAATGCAAACTGGCAATGCTCTCACATAATCCTACCCAAAGGCTACAAACTCAGAGCTTCTCTCTGTCTTTTCTTTCAGAGTATGGTTCCACTCTTTCTATCCTGATCCAGTGCAGAAAACAGCTTAGACAGAAAAGTGGGGAGGGAGGAATCTGCTTGTGTTTTGTTTAGCAGCCGATCTATGAAAGAAAATGCTCCTCTGGTACAAAAAGAGCTCCATCTTTTGTGCGAGGAAGCACTTGAGGCCTTTCTTGTTGCCGGAGTACAGGCCCCACTCACACACCACCATCCCCTTTGTTTCTTCCCACCACAGTCCTCACCCCTTTCATTGTTTCCCTTTGTTACTCATCTGTCCCTGAGTTTATGTTAAAAGACTTGCTGATGGAGGGAAAAAGCAGCTCCAATGTGATAAATGTTTCTCTAATTATACCCTAATATCAAAAACAGACTACTGCTTCCTGGCAATGGAGAATTGCCATGGTAACCATTCAACCAGCTGTTCAGAAGGCTCTCTCGGGAGGAAACAAATCGCAACAAATATCGTGTCCAGCTAATGAATTATCACTTTAGGGACACACTTCTTTGAACTATAAAACTTAAAAAGTCCCTTTGTTCAAAAGTTGAGAAGTGCGTAAAAGTTATTAGACTTACCATCAGAGCTGACAGTATCTTGATGATCAGGGTCCTGTCCAGTATCCCTGTAATCAACCCAGTTAATCCCCTCTAAGCTGTCGTAGCTAGCCTGAACTTGATCTTTCACTGGTACGACCGTGAAGTGAGGCATGTTTTCATCACTCTTTTCGGTGTCTCTAGCTCAAACACAACTTAGAGGGCTAGCAGTTGGGCAGCTTCAGCTCAACTCCCACTAATGGCAGCTACATTCCACTACACTGCGCTCACTTCCTCTGAAGGGTATTATCATACTCTCCGCCCACAGGCCAGCCTTCCCTGATTTTTCTTCTTCTTCTTCTTCTTTGGTTTTGGTGTGAACCGTAAGGTTCAGCTGTAAGGGGTGTGACACTCACCCCTATGGCCAAACTCCAAATAAAAGTAATAATCTGTTGGGCACAGCTATTGTTAAAGAGTTACTGAGTCATACATGGCGTGAGAGAGTGCAGGGTCCCCCCCTTCTGGTCTCCGTGTAGCTGTCATAATGACATCTAACAGAGTGGTCCTTGTCTGTTCAAGGTTCACACAGGCAGTCCTCTGTGTAAGCAAGCGTTTCCTAAAACACACAGGGAGCAACGTGGCAGTCTGGAAAATAATCAATGTTGGTGAAGTGGAACCACAGGCCTAAAAAGACGAAGGAGAGGAAAAAAGCATTTATCAGTGTAAGATGGAAGAAAAAAAACTTACTTTAGGGCACCATGGTAAACAGGGGGACAGTTAGATGCCATTTTAGGATTTGAAGCTAGAGCTTTTTTAAGATTTAAGGGAGATGTTTTTAAAACTAACATTTGTAAAATAACCAATTAACTGAGTGAAATAATTATTAACTGAGTGAAATTAATTGTATGTTAATGGAATATGATGGTCAGCAGCTGTTGAAGCTGCGAGGGTAGCCTCTGCAGTGAACTGCAGTAGCATCAGAACGAGAAGTAAAGTTTACCCTCCTCTTTTCAGGAATAGAAGCTAGTCTGCCACTATAAAACCATAAAAACCGAGAGATCAAAGACACTCTAGAAAGGCTGTTATTACAGTTCCTTTTTAAGATGACTTTTTTTCACATCTTTCTGCTACTGCAGCACAGGCTTTGATTGCTGAAGCTTTATTTGTTTTCTCTCATACTTTTCATTTTCTTTGTTATAAAAAACTATTAAAGATTATAAGACAATTTTATGCAAATGAGCTAAAGTTTTGATGACCAGGAATGACAATCACATACCTCATACAAAAGGGGAAAATATTTATTGCATCTATGGATTTGTGTACTGTACAGTTAGACACAAGTTTTTGTTCAATGGCATTGTTTATATGACGTAAAAGGCAAACTGAGAGCTCTGACATCACAGAAATCTGACCCAGTGCAAAAGATGTAGATTACTTAACCCTTGTCAAGACTATGGTGTCTATTTTTAAACGAAAAATAGAGTATACAGTAAATATAATGCTTTATGGTATACTGCAAAAAAATCTTTTTTAAAAAAAGGTTTATAGTTTAATTAGGAGCAGTCAGTTCCCAAATGGCATACATTGTATCTCAATTAAGGTAACTCCAAATCAATTAATATAAAGGTTTAGAATATGAAAGTGTATTAAAAAAAATCTAATCTGAATCTATACCTCTTAGCTCATATGACGTAACTGTCATGATTATAAGAATACTGAAGATGGCCTCCTTTAAAGGTGTTTTCAATATATCTGATTTACATTAAAATCACCCTGGGAACACATAGTGCTTCACCTTGCAAGCAATACTTTGCAATCAATATCATACTCCTATAAGAAGGTTTGTTAGTCATCTTATGCACATCATCAACCCCCAAAATATATCCAGGCATTACTTCTAAAAATGATAAACAGCTAGAAATGCATTGAAGCATGTGTAAATCTGTTAATTGTAACCTGCACACATGTATATCCAAATTATTATTTAAAAATACAGACAGATCAAATTTCTCCTCAGCCCATAGTAGTAATTGTTTATAGCTTCTTCTTCTTCTTCTTCTTCTTCTTCTTCTTCTTCTTCTTCTTCTTCTTCTTCTTCTTCTTCTTCCTGACCAGTTTTCTGGCTTGAAAAAGTAATACACACAAGATTCTGTCCATATAAGGTTATTTCCTAACTCATGCAGTGCTGTGTACAAGTAAAGGTCAGTGAGCAATGGGCACTGACACAAGAATGATTACTCATTCTTGTGGAAAGATGTCTTTGCAGGATTGCTAGGTTCCATGAAACGTGAGAGCCAGCTTGTTTACAGCATAGAAGATAACTTGGGAATTGGTACTGTGAGGTACTGCAACTGAAAGTACAGTGATAAAACTTTCTAAAATATAATTTATTATATTTTTCACTGCCCTAAGGCATACCAGTAGACTCAGTGTACTGAGTCTGTCCAGTACAGTTTCTCATCCTTGAAGGAACAATGCTTTGCTGAGATCAGAATTAGGAGAGGTATGTAGATAACTTTGCTTAAATATCCTTAATATCAAGTGTACTTTGACAATCAGTTTGCAAAGTAGAATTAACTTCTGTTTCCTAACACCCTTTCTCCTATAATGCAACAGCTTTGTACATGAGCATGTGTGATACCATATGATGTTAAGTTATATATTACCAGAATGATATGATCATAACTCACACTCCATCTTTTGACCTTTCTTCCTGTTGCAGTACATGTGCGTACATTAACTAAGTTGTGATTATGGTTATCATCCGCTAGATGGCAGCGTTTGAACACTTATTCATTCTGGTCTTTTCAGGCTATAGCACAGATCTAAATGTAAATGATTAACCTATAGCTGTCATACATTTAATACACATCAATTTATATTTATTTCAAGATTGTTTCCCAGCATTTATCTTTC